GAATGTATTCTCCACATAGCTGCTGAGTCACCCTTCTAAGCATAAAAAAAAAAAAAAAGAAAAGAAAAGAAAGAAATATCACAGCCACGTCAGTGTTCCAGTGGTTCCTCATTACCCCAGAATAAAATTCTAAAGTACTTTTCATAGCCTGTGAGGACCTACATGGTCTGGCATCTGGTTTCCTTTCTAGCCTCATCCTTACTTTCCCCTCATTCACAGTATTCTAATCACATGAATGTCCTTTCAGTCCTTTGAATAGGCCAAACTCATTCAGGCTTTAAGATCTTGGACTTAATTTCCCTTGTCTAGAATACTCTCCACCCAAATATTCTCATAGCTCATTGCCTCACTGTGTCTCTGCTTAAACAGAGACTCCTCAGACCTTCCTTAACCCCATACCACCTTCCATGACTCTCCATCCTCTTACCCTGAGTTATTTTTCTTGATAGCCCTTCCTTTCATCTGGCACTGTTATTACATCACAAGCTTACTATTTATCTTTGTCTTCCCCCACCTGCACCCCCCCTCTAAATACATAAGGACCATAGGAACATGCCGCGAGGGGTTTTGCCATCACTATATTCCCTGTCCCTAGGACAATGCCTGCATGCGGCACTCAGTAATTATGGAATGAATAGTGAATAGAACATGACAGATATGTACTCATATTTTACATGCTTTTGAAAACCCAACTTTTAATATGCTTTACTAAAAATATGCATCTTTATAAAACATATTTCCATGTCTGACTTTATCTTCTAACTTTTCATTGTGCCCAAAGATTGAGATTCTCAAACATGTTCCTGAAGGTGCTGAGACAGGGCAAAGCCTCCAGCGGGAGCTTCAAGTTCTAAGGTACATTGTCTGTTTATAAGGCTATCTTTAAAAAAATAATAATAATAATAATAATATAACCAAGTTTGCTACATCTAGAGATTAGGATTTTTTAATCTTGTGGCCTAACAAGCTTATCAGTCTTATTTCATCCTTTTAATCCCAATTACTCTCTTACATAACAGATACTGAAAAAAGGGTAAACCAGATCCTAATATAAGTCTCAAGCTTCTAATTTAAACTTTCTGGTCAGACTTTTAAGAAGCATGAAGAATTTTCATTCTCTGATCTCAGTTTGAGAATGGTAGCATTGCAACAGTGAGAGTAAATGAATAAATGTTTACCTTTATAGACTATCAGCAAGTTCTAAGCAATTTACAAAGTTCATAAGAAATAACCATATATTTTGTGAAGCAATGTCTGTTTTTTGTTGTTTTAACACATAATCATTGTGTTCTAGATTAGCTAATAGTCAGCTGGAAAAAGAAAAAGCAGAATTAATCCATCAGTTAGAAGTTAACAAAGACCAAAATGGAGCTGAAAGCACTGTATCTGGTAAAGTGTTTTATTCTTCTAGCATGTTAGCTATCCTGTTTTTGAATTAGGGTTTTGCCTTTTTTATTTATTCAGATGTCTGATGATTGTCTTCCTATACACTCAGATCCTTGACAGCATGTTTCCTGAGCTCTTTCCTTCATAAAACAGAGTTGTTTATAATAGCAGGTACTCAAGTTTTTTCTTTTTATGTTCCATATGGGTGTTACATTTAATCATGATACAGGGCTAAGCAAAGAAAACTAGGTCTGTGGTTTCCATTTTCTAAGTATAGGCCCTTTTAAGCCCTCTGAACATTATCTTTTCAGATTTTATTTATTTGAAAAAAAAAACAGAGAAAGAGAGCACGAGCAGGAGGGGCAGAGAGAGAGAGAGTCTCCCTGCTGAGTGGGGAGCCTGTTGCAGGGGCATGATTCCAGGAATCTGGGATCATGACCTGAGCTAAAGTCAGATGCTTAACCGACTGAGCCATCCGGGTACCCCAACTTCTTATTAACTTAAAAACTACATATAGTAAACTCACCTACTTTCTTTTTCCCTTTTACAAAGTAAGACAGTCTAATCCTCTCCATACTTTCATTCAGAAGTGATTAATCACTCTATTGCTATGTGCATATGTATGCATATGTATACATATATATGAATTACATACACACACACATAATTAACAGCTGATCCTCATTATTTTCAGTCTGTATTTGTGAATTCAACCACTCACTAAAATTTACTTATAACCCCAAAACCAGTACTCTGGTGCTTTTGCAGATACAATAGCAGTGAAAAATTTAAGTTCTGATTCACCTTTTTCCAGATGAGATCCAACAAAGTGAGGCTTTGAATTATTTCAGCTCTCTCATACAGATGACTAGAGGATGTAAACAGGACAGGGCAGTGCGGGACAGGGCAAGAAGCTCTGGTTCTGGGGCCAGTTGGACTGGGTTTAAATCCCAACTCTCTGACACTTATGAGCGGGGCCTCGGGAGAGTCACTTGTTTTCTGAACTTTGTTTTCTCTTTCATCAAAGGATAGAATCTACCAGGATGAATTGTTTCCAGGATTTAAAATTATACTGTGTGAGGAGATATGAGTATGTGTATATGTACATGTTTTCCCAATGAATGGTTCAGTATTCACAAATCCATTGTTCGTGTCAACTTTTGAGAACATCACTGTTAACAAGAATCATTTGTTATATATATCTGATAGTGTGATGGAAATAAATTCTATTCCAAAGGACTATATCAATTTATACTTAAACAGTCTTTGATTATTTCATATACCTTTCTTAGTATCCTAGGATGTATTCTCGTTGCTACTTTGTATTAAAGCTATCATGTATGAGTTGTACCAGACACTATGCTAAGTGCTTTACAAGCATTTTATAGTATTCCCCCCCCACCACCCCAGCATTTTGTAATTAACCACTAAAACACTGTTTGGTGGGTACTACTGTCTCCATTTTACCTACGATCTTCACCTTAAAGAGGTTAAGTAACAAGGTCACAACAGCTAGAAAGTGCGAGAGGCAGGATGAAACCTCAATGTGTGGAACTCCAAAGCCCCTCCCTGGTCCCTGCTTTTGACCACGGAAACTGCCTTACCTACCTCCTGGGGACTCAAACAGTCATGTAAGTCTCTCACAGTATCTCTTACAGCAGCCAGCCCAGGGTACCAGACTAGCACATTCCCAAAGACCTGTTGATGCTGTTGATATTCGGCAAGTACTTTCTTTCTAAATCTCAGTTTTCTGAGAGGGAATTTCAGAACCCTGTATTTCCTCATCTATTTAAAGGAGACTAAGGATACCCATCAAAGACTGTTAAGGTTCAAAATCAAACCAGACTGTCTTGGCAATCCTAAAGCACTATTTAAATAAAGTCGCAACAAGACTGGCAGAATATTGAAAAAGCTGTATGAAATAGTCAAAGGTTGTTCAGGTAGAAGTTGGTGTAATCTTTTGAAACAGAATTTGCCATTTTGATCATGCAATCAGATACCATTAAGCTAACTTTCAGAAAGTGCAATGCATAATCACTTTTACTGCACTATTTCGTTGCTAATCTGTGTAACATATAGCATCCCTTTGATTAAGACAGTCAACATAGCATTACAGTGGTTAAGAACCAAATTTATAAAAAATAATTAGCACTTTCTACAAAGGTGAGGGGAAGTTTTGAAAAATATGATTTTGCTCTGCTTTCCAAAGGAAGATAGGTTCTGGTGACTATTCCTAAAGGAAAAGGATGAGGAAAATATTTCTTGTCTCCAACTTCTAATTAGGAAACCATATCAAGGGAACCTTAATAGAATAGAAACCTTCCTGTCTCGCTCATCAAAATGTGTCTTGCTGCCTATTATTTTCTCAAACTTTAGCATTACTTCTAACTTTTACCTTTCAGTGGCTACAAAATATGACAGGACACACTATAAGTTGCTTAATTTAAAGAAAATGTTTCTAGCAAAGATGGCAATAAAAAAAAAAAAAAATCCCATTTATCCATTGATTCTCATAAAATTAGAGAGATGTTAACTCCAAAGGGGGGTAGTTAAGGATCCAGTAAATTAAAGCCCTTGTGCTCTGTGTAACTCAGGGTTGCCTGACCATAGTATCAGGATTTATTCGTCTTTGTTTTATCCACCCTGTCTGGCATGTATTTCACATAGTAATTACACAGTAAAGGTGGACTGACCTACATGAACAGCCAATACTGTTGGGGACCAGGAACATTTAGCCAGCTATGGTTGTAGCCACTTACCTAACAGTCTCCTTATTCTTTTGTTGTCCTTTTATTTTTCTCTGAAAATAATTTCTTCCGTGTAAAAAATTAACCCGATTCTATACTTCTGATACCCAGTACATGCCTTTTCTCTTGGTCTGCTGTGGAATTACAATACCGGATAGAGGTAGGATTACAGTATTCAGTCTGGAAAGTGTTTCAGCCATAAAATGCATATTTTCTAGGCTCTAGTTTCTTAGTTTTCTACTTACGCTCTAAAATAAACCCTTTGTCAGAGTGGGGGAAAGCAGAATCTGATTTTTGTAACTTTTTTGGCAGATCCTGATCAACTCAAGGAAAAGGTAAAGGATTTAGAGACACAACTCAAAACTTCAGATTTAGAAAAGCAGCATTTGAAGGTAATTTTATCTAATTATATTATAAATGCTTTGTGTTAAAGACTGTTAAAGACAACTTCTATGAACACCACCCTTGAGTTTTACGTATGTATCCTAAAAATTCCTGGGTATACATTTGACCTCGATACTGCAGAATTCATTATATTCATCTGTGTTAAAAATATTAAGCGAGAGCTACAAAAATACTGAGACAAAACAAATAGGATTAAAGAGACGTTTATTTTTTGATTCTCAACAAATATGGCTCATTATTTTAATATAAGTTTTGGGTCATACTGGGAAAACTATCTTTTATTTCTTTTTTTTTCTTTTTTGTTTTTTTTTTAAGATTTTATTTATTTATTTGACAGAGATCACAAGTAGGCAGAGAGAGGAGGAAGCAGGCTCCCTGCTGAGCAGAGAGCCCGATGCGGGGCTCAATGCCAGGACCCTGGGATCATGACCAGAGCCGAAGGCAGAGGCTTTAGCCCACTGAGCCACCCAGGCGCCCCTTTTATTTCCTTTTGAAATTCTTTTCAGGAATAGCTCCCTTTATTAAAGAAAGATATCTGCCATGCTTTATCTCTTAAGGAATCTATAAACAGAATAAAAGAGCATAAGCTGAAGAATTAACTAGTGATCACTCGCTATTCTACAGTCCAAATTGTCTCTTCACCAGATGCTTCTTCGCCAGGCATAAGTCCTAGAGTTTCCCTAATTCTAAATACAAGAAACTATTATTCATTTTAAAAAAAAATAAGTGTTTGTGAAGAAAACATAAATGAACCCTAAACCAAAGAATCTTAACCAAAACCAAAGAATCTTAACCAAAATAACCTATGTTGTGATTGGCCAAGTCTTTTTGATTGCCTCAATGAGAGTATCTGATATACTTCTGGAGAAAGATTAAATGCCATCTCCGTTTAAGAACTGATAAATTTTAGTCAAAAAGTAGGACATAACTTACGGGATAACTTAATTTGTTAGTGAACAAGTTAGTTATTTATGCTGTACAAGGAAACCTTATTTGCGAAATTCTAAAAACATACTTCTGCCTATAAGTGTATTAGATTATTCAGGTTACTTTGGATTTTATGTTTGTAATTAAGTCTCTTTATTTCAAATCTAAAGAATATATTATATTCTTACATACCTTTCAAAGATATTATGTTTCTATTAGGAGGAAATAAAAAAGCTGAAAAAAGAACTGGAAAACTTTGATCCTTCATTTTTTGAAGAAATTGAAGATCTCAAGTATAATTATAAAGAAGAAGTGAAGAAGAATATTCTCTTAGAAGAGAAGTTAAAAAAACTTTCTGAACAATGTGGAGTTGAGTTAACTAGTCCTATTGCTGATTCTGAACAGTTTGAAGATGAAGAGGAAAGTCCTGCTGATCTTCCCATTTATTAAACTACCCATACCTGTAATTTTATTTAACTATCTACTTTATAAGTCAAAACTCCATCTGGAAATCACGCAGATCTCTGACCTACATGATTTCCTTCTTCATACCCTGTACCTTTATTAAATTGAAGTTTTAGTAAATAAAGTTATATGAAATTTTAAAGTATATTTTTGATGACTTTTAGCATAAGGTATGACTAGATCAAATAAGCTACGATGAATTTCTGTATACATAATGTTTAAGTTTTTTAAAGAGTTTAGGGGTGAACTTTAATAACTTTAACATTTAAAGTTGGGGTTTATAAATATACTTATTTATATGTGTGTTAAGACTCTAGTTTTATATATGTGTAATGTATATAAACAGGTATGAGGTTATAGCCATAAGTTTTGTTAAGTGTCAGAATAAATTCATCTTGATCTATTTAAAGTTGATGATCCAGAATTGTTGGTTTAATTGCTGCATTTAAGGTAAGGAGCTTATTACTACATTTTTAATGCAGTAGTGGCTTAAATTCATTTGCTGGTTCTAAATAAAATTTTGAATAGACCTTTGCAACTGAGAAATTTGTTTCTTCAAATGCTAGAAGATTACTGCTCTATTAGACATGGAACCTTGAGATTTTTTTACCTTCCATATATGGCAGAATTTTCAAGATTCAAAGATAACAATAAAGCTGGTTCTTAACTGCATTTCTAGTTTATATCAAGTATTATATCTTTCAGTCTACCAAATTTCTGATTATCTATTTTTGAAAAAAGACTAAACAAACATTTGGTATCAAAGCCATGGTCATACTTGTTCAGGTTCATGTTGATAATAACTGGTTTTGAATTCATGTAAGTCTCTGGAATTGGCCAGCATAAACCAAGATGATGGCGGTGAACCTGAAGAGAGAAAAAAGGTATTAGCTTTAGACTTTTTGACCTTCATTCACTTATAAATATGTATTTTGAATGCCTACCATCTGCCAAGCATTACTTAAGGCTCCACTTTATCTTACCCTTTTTCTTGTTTTCATAGCTGTTCTCCTCCTGACATATTACATATTTACTTGTTATTGTCTATCTTCCCCATTAGAATGTGAGCTTCATGAAGGCAGAGACATTGTTTTGTTGACACTGTATTTCCAGCACCTGGAAACATGCCAGGAACATATTCAGGGGCTCCATAAAAATTTAATGAATAGAGTCTGTTGCTGAGTACAGAAGCTAGCCAATTAAAAAATATGAGTGGGAGGCATTCTAAATATCACATTAACAGAATGGTGCTTTTTGCTCTGATTATAATTATATAAATATGGTTAGAACATATACAGTGTGGGTATATTTGGCAGATAGGGGTATATAGCTGTTCTGGAAAGTGAAACAAGGGTCAGATCATGAATATTCTTAACGTCACTAAGCAATTTTATGCAACAAAGTAACATTTTAACTTACTATGAAGAATGGACAGAATAAGGATAAGACTGAAAGAGAACATTTAGGAGGGTGATAAACAGGTCAAGCATTAATCTTAGCTACAATTAAAATGAAAATTAACTGCCAACTGGTTGGGAAGAAGTATAGATTCAACAGATCAGAATCTTTAAATAATTTTATCTATGAAGTAAGGAGAGAGGGGTTAAAAATGGCATCTCCGTTTCTGAACTGCTGGGAGTCAGGGGGTTGATAAGACTTAAGGTCCAGTTCTGAATATCACTAATTTCAGAAACCTGTGAGAAATCAAATAGTCCAAGAGACTGAAAGGGCACAAAGTCTAAAAATTCATTTGGTAAATATTAACAGTTACCTTGGCACTTTTAACTCAAATTCTATAGTCAAGTAAATTTGGGGAATGCTGGGTTAAAATAAGCTGGTACAGATTATCTCAGAGGGCATTCATTTGCAACATTAATTTCCAAGAAGGAAGTATGTAATATGCAGAGCATTCCAAACATTTTCATCAGTTTAATTCTGAAGTACATTTGGAAAATCAATGCCCCAGAGAACGAATACACATTGGGAAACACTATTATGTAAAGAATGGTGGCCTGTAAGATGAGGAAATTAAATTTCTTCACGACACATCAGAATTTCTGCAATCTATAGAGAATATTCTGGTGCCACTTCTACCTCCTTTTAGGAGGACAATATCGTACCACAAGCTATTTTCTGTCATTACCTTGATTAAACAGCCATCGTTGCAATGCCACACTATTCCTTCAATTTTACCCTCTCTGCAACCTTCAAACCAGGATAATAGGTCATTGTGCTTCAAGGAAGGTAGATTTCTGATTTGAAATGCCCCATGTGGTATAAGAAGATGTAATGGATGCTTCTTGCTTCCTAAACCTAAATGTTAAAAATTTCCATTAGCCATACAAAAGTTCCAAAAACTGAGAAAATTTACTTAAAAAAAAAAAAAAGCCTTTGAAGACATTTAGCAATTAACTTACCAAAAAACTTAGTTGGTTTCCTAAGTGGTGATGTCATTCAAAACTGTCACCTTATCCCATTAAATATAAATTTCACCTTCATATAATGTGTACCAAGGGTCAGCAAACTATAACCCGTGGGCTAAATCCAACCAGATGCCTGTTTTTGTAGTTTCAATGGAACACAGCTATACCCATTCTTTTAAGTACTGTTTACAGCCTACAAAACCTAAATATTTACTACTGGACTTGTACAGTGAAAGTTTGCCAACCCCTGATCTATACCACTAGCCAAGTTCAACTATCATTCAGTGTTTGCCAAACAGCCACTCTGTACCTCTGATAACTTGTATAATTACTATCTTCTTTCCAACTACCAATCAGTCTGCTTCTGATCCCTATATAGGACTTTGCTATTGTAGCTTTAATGTCCTTGGGTCTGTCTCCATTTCCTATCAATAGTGTCTTCCACAGTGCTCTCTGGACTTGCGCTCAGTTCACTGTAGTACAGATTTTGATACTCGATTCATGGTCAATTCTTAATTTACTCTTAGCTGTTAATGCTAAACTAAATACCTAGCCATGAAAAACACAGGATTTTCATTCAACTCATTTCACCCAAATTTTAATAAGCAACAAAAAGTTACACTTGAGTATTTCCCTTTCATACATAGTTTTATAGTGTTATTATGTGAAAGAATGAGAGGCTAAAATCAACTTTTTGGGTTAATAAAATGGTTTGAGTTCCGCATAAATTTCTCCATGGACATAAATAGCAATGGCTATAATTCTAGGAAGCTGTTTAACTCAAATTAGTCATCTCTCTCTTTTTTAAGATTTTTTATTTATTTTATTTGACAGATAGAGATCACAAGCAGGCAGAGAGGCAGGCAGAGAGAGAGAGAGGAGGAAGCAGGCTCCCTGCCGAGCAGAGAGCCCGATGCAGGGCTCGATCCCAAGACCCTGGGATCATGACCTGAGCCGAAGGCAGAGGCTTTAATCCACTGAGCCACCCAGGCGCCCCTAGTCATCTCTTTAGTGTATGTGTTTTAAGTTAAGCCTAGGAAGGTCTCTTTATAAATGACAGTTACTATAACTGAGCAGGAAAAAGGCTTCACTCACCATACGGGTTTCCATTAATATTTGTTCCTATAAGCTCTAGTGTTTGTTCCAGGAGATCTGAGAGTGGCACTGCACTAATTTCCAGAAGCCCAGGATCATCAGGATGATGCTTCAGTACCAGGGCAACTTCGAATTCATAATTAACTACAGAGGAATGCCAGCAATATTGCTTGTTGTTTTTCTCCACTGGTACCCAACCTACATGTAAAGGAAAAACTGTCAGGACACTGCTTTTCTTTGGATTGAGACTTGAAGCAATTTTAATTTTGTTATAGATTTTCCATGTTTTCTGGATGTTAATCACACAGATAACTTTTTTCTTAATCAGTGGAAGCATTAGCAATTTTACTTTTTTAATCCTAATCATTCTTTTAATCATAAGGTTATTTTTACTTTTTACTCTATTGAGAAATCAACCTGCTTAACAGTTCACTACAGAATATTCAGCATTCCTTTCTAGAAAATTTTCAGGAAGAACCAAATACCATTCTAAAACACAGCACTAAAACTTTTTTTTCTTTTCTTTTTCTTTTTTCTTTAAAGGTTTCTCTCTACCATCTCTCCAGTTTCAGGGACAATAGACCTATGCAGTAAGTGTTCTACAATTTATTGTACTGTTGCAATATTTGCTGAACAATGTATTAATTCCACATGTACTGAAGGTTATTGCTATTCCTCTCCTAACTTATGTTACCAGATAGGCTCCCTCATGTGAACAATTCTTTATCAACAAACAAAAACTAGGACACATAAGCCATTGTGACCATCTTTGGTCACATCTTTGACCTTCAGTACTCACTCAGGTAACTGTAATAACCTTTTTTTCTAGTCCATTAGTCTCCAGGGAAACCCACCACACTTTTATCATAATCTTGCTTCAAAATTTTAAATTTAATTCTGCTGTACCCCTGCTTAATAATCATCTTCAGGATGAACTTAAAACTCCTCTAAATGGAATATAAACTCCTTTAAGACCTGAGCCCATTCCACCTCTCCAGCATCAAGTTTTATTAATGTCCTCCAATGTCATACACCCTAAACATTCCAGCCACAGAGAAATGTCACATAAAATTCCCACAACTCCATTTTGCTCCTCTTCAGGCAAGTTTGCCTAAGCTGACCTTCCCTCTTCCTTGCCAGCTAACTTCCTGGTTCTTATGCTTTGGTACAGATGTCCTCTCTGCTTAGAAGCTTCCTCTAACTACCACAGGCTAACAAGAATTCTTCCTCTTTTCTCTGACTATCCCCTTTGTATACTTTCCTTTTAGTTCTTTCTTAAATCATACCAATATTGATAGATTTCCCCTAGTGTCTAAAAGATCATGGGTAAGATTCTAATCTTCATTTTGTATTACTAGAACCTAAGACTACTCTGCATATTATAGGTACTCAAGATACACTTGCTGAACTGAACATTATTCTGGGGTATCTTTCTACTCAGCACACTTGCAAAAATCTCCCCATTCCCAGAAAAACTACTTATGCATTTTAGAAAAGTTTTCATGATACCAGGAATGTGTCCATTTTCATCAGGCATCGGATTCCCATTTAATTGTTCTATTTCTTTCGCTGGTATCCAGCACTCTGGAACAGGTTTGAAGTCCTCCTCAACATTCCAAAAAAATTCTAAAAGAGTTAAGTAATTTTAAATGTGGTGATACTTTAAAAAATATAAAAGATGAACAAATTCAAATAGGGAAGAGCTAATAAACCCCATTAATATCAGGTCTTATATAATCATTCTCCATTATCACCATGATGTAACTGCACTTCTCAGGGTTAGGGCACTAGTATTTTGGGGGAGCCTAAGTGGTTCCTTCAGTTAAGTGTCTGCCTTTGGCTCAGGTCATGATCACAAGGTCCTAGGATTGAACCCCGCATCAGGTGCTCTGCTCAGTGGGGAGCCTGCTTCTCACTCTCCCTCTGCATGCTGCCCCCCTGCTTGTGCTTAACACTTTCTCTGTCCAATAATTAAATAAAATCTTTAAAAACAATTTTTCAATTCTGAATTCACCGCTCTGTAAACAGTGGATAAAAGCCTAAAGTAGCCAATGTTCTAATATGTGTAGATTTATGATGAATTTTTAATGCACTATAAACATAAACATATAAATACATATATGAATGAGTGGATACAGTAATTAATGTATACATCTGCTTATATTAGAGGAATTTTAATGTTTAATTAAACAAACTGATAATCCTTTGATATTTTTGTGCCTGATTTATAAAATTATGTATTTGTCTCTTAGGCAACAAAACCAAAATGTGTTGCTCATTACAGTATATATGTAGTACTTTGTATGTTTTAATAAAATCAACATACTCTAATGAGTTATAAAAATGTTAGGAAAATGATTCAAAATATTTTTCAAGAATATTCTTTTACATACAAAGATACTCAATTATAATTTTCTTCTTTCCCCTAAGTACTTAAATTGTAAGAAGGATGAATGTATAAAAATACCACCATAGCAAGAAATAAGCCAAAAATTGCAGGTTATTTAAATCATAAGAAGCTAAAAAGAAAAAAAAAAAGAAGCCCACTAACCTTTTGAGTTTTGTTTTGAATGTAGAAAATTTTTAAATCTTTTCTCAGCTAATTTGTTAGGTTTTCTATCTAGCCGAGCCCAAAGGTATGGCTGACCTAAAAAAAAATAATAATAGTAGGGAAAAGAAAAGTTTAAGAAGCAAACAATAAAACTTATCTTGAAAGACATTTCAGTATAAAGTTTTTTCAATAAATAACAGGGTCATCTTCCCCAAAAACACCAACCCTGTAAGACACATTCTAACAGATGCATCTTGCCCAGCCATACCTGATGCTGTAAGAAGACCCAAGTCTTTGGTTCAAGAATGCTGAGGGTGAGATTAAAAAGTAAATATGTGACCCTTTCATAAGGACATTCCACAGCCAGATTTTATCAGCAAAGAGCATTTGTGAGAAACTGAAACCTCTATACTAAATGGAAACGTACCAAGAGAATTGTAGTCACACTTTTCCAGAAACATGACGGTGTACCGTAAGGGTTAGTTCTCAAAAATGTGGAATTAGACTGAGCTATTTTGCATGGCTCTGATCCCCGGTCAAGTGATTATTAGTGATGATCTGTAATCGTGGATCTGCGAAGTTTCAGGGCAGTGTGTCCACATTCTTTATTGATGACACTGAGACTAATGAGTCTTATACCTGGTCTGAGTGAGATTCCCAGCAGGCTCTGCTGTCGGGACTGGTTACTTAGCAGGAAGAGATCTCCATGACCCGCAGAATATAAAAATCCCCAGTTGACACTGCATTTTGGATTCTGTTTCCAAGGTGTTCCCTGCATACATCAGTGGTTCTTGATTTGACAAAGTATGTCCTGCCAGAACCTTGGGGGCTGGGAGGGGTGGAGAGGGGTAAGGCGGGTAACAACAGGCGCTTTCACCTGGACTCCCAGACCCTTTGCTGCAATGTACATCCTTGCATTTAATGCCCTTGCTAATACTGTGTATCCTTTACCTGTAATAAACTGTGGATTCGCAAGCACTGCCATTCTGGACCCTATAAGTTTTCTTCAGCAATCCAGTCATATTTATCTGCCACCATTATACATGATCACATAATGATGCACATTTAAGCTGCTTAATATAAACATGAAAGCCTGAAAAATCTTTTAGTTTCTTCAAATATATTAGATTTTTAAATTACTGATTATAGTTTAGTTCAGACATTCTGTATTACTTATTAACTATCCCAATAAATATTATGAAGAACCAGATTAAAATTATATTCCATTATTTCTGGCTGAATGGACCTTTTGTTCTTTTTACTATTAAGTACAAAAATCCATTTCACTTATACCCATTACAATGGCTACTATCAAACAGAATTACAAGTGTTGGTGAGGGTGTGGAAAAACTGGAACCCTTGTGCACTGTTGGTGGGAATGTAAATCGTGCAGCTGCTGTGGAGAAACAGTATGGCAGTTCCTCAAAAAATTAAAAATAGAATTACTATATGATCCAACAATATATATCTTCTGGATATAGACCCAAAAGAACTGAAAGCAGGGCGTCAAGAAGATATTTGTTCATCATGCTCATAGCAGCATTGTTTCCAACAGCCAAAAGGTAGAAGTAGTCCAAGTATACACTGATGGATGAATGGTATGGACAAAAAACTACGTGATATGGACATAAAATTATGTGGTGTGTACAACAAACAAAATGAGCTCTATACACACAATGAACTGTTACTCATGAAAAGGAAGGGAACCGTGTAGGTACTACAACATGAACACTGAGGACACTATACTAAATGAAATAAGCTTGCCATAAAAAGACAAACACTGTTTGACTCCACATATATGAGGTATCTAGAATAGCCAAAACCACAGAGACAAAGTAGAATATGGTTGTCAAGGGCTGCAGGAGAGGGAACGGTGAATTATTTAATGGGTACTGAGTTCCAATTTCACAAGATGAAGTGGTGATAGGAGACAGACGGTGGTGATTGGAGCACAACAATGAACTGTACACTTAAAAATGGTTAAGATGGTAAATTATGTTAAGTGTATCTTAATCACAATTCATACTGGAAAAAACACATTTCAGAAGAGATTTCGTGGTACCAGGAATATGTCTAATTTGCATTTATTTAACTGTTCTGTTTCTCTTGCTGGAATTAAGAGGTAAAAGGAAATCATAAAGATTATTTCTCTCTTTTTGATGCATCTGTTTTCCTTAACTGACAATTTCTATTTTAGTTTCTAACTCTTAAAGTGCATTAAATTGAAATAAATTAGAGATGCTGCCAATAGTAATAAAAACTATGGAGTCAGCGCCGGAATCAGTGAAATCAGAGCAAGTTTTAGGATCAAACATAGGTTCTATTACCAGGTTAGTCATTCATTAATTAGCTGGTCTTGAACAAATTAAGTTCTCTGAGGCTCTATCTCTGCAATAGAGAGGCTTACTGTGCAAATTAGAGATAACATGTATAAAACATTTATCCTATCACCTGCCTTTAATGAGTATTAAGTAAATGTTAATTATCTTCCTTTCCTCCCCCCAGGAGAGAGATACACTGATGTAATAAATAAGTATAACAACTGGGACTTTATCATTTTGCTCTTATATTTAGACTGCCTAGGGCTGATGAGGAAAAATGCCCTACTTCAGATATATATATAGTTTGTAAAGTGATCAAATAATATTTGTATTACAGTTTTGTTTTACCTTTGTAAGTAGTAATATAACAACATGTTCCATCCACTTTTTCTGTTGGAATTGCACTGTATATATCTGCATCTAATGCCTTGTGACTTAGAGTTTCAGTTGCCAAAACTTTAAATGGCTTAAAAAAGAGAGAAAGAAAATTGGTTTTAGATAAACAGCCTCTATGCCTTCACCCATACTCTCACCTGGAATGTTCTTAATTTCACTATTTCTAAAGTACAATTTCTTGCTTACCCTTCACAATTAAAAAATATTTCTTCCATCAAGTTCTCATGAGTTACCCCCCCTCCCTTCTATGCTATCACAGCAACACCTGTTCTCCCACACTTCATTTTTATTCTGTTTCTTTATCCACCATGAGCTGACAATAGGAACCATGTCCTATGCAGCACTGTCTCTGTAGCACAGTGTGTTCAATCATTTACTTGATAATCACTTGCTAAATGTCTTCTATGGGTTAATTCTCATCCTTGACACTAGGAAATATAGAAATTAACAAAAAAGTACCTGTCTTTGGTGGAACTTTTTTTTTTTTTTTTTTTAAAGATTTTATCCATTTATTTGATCACAAGTAGGCAGAGAGGCAGGCAGAGAGAGAGGAGGAAGCAGGCTCCCCACTGAGCAGAGAGCCCAATGCGGGGCTCGATCCCAGGACACTGGGATCATGACCTGAGCTGAAGGCAGAGGCTTTAACCCACTGAGCCACCCAGGCACCCCTGGAACTTTTATTTTAATGAGCGAGACAACAGGAGCAAAGTAACACATACATACAATGTTAAGTATAAATGTTAAGGAGAAAAACAAACAGGGAGTCTCCGAGCTTTCACAGTAGTAAACTCATGATTTATGGTTCTTCTGTTGTCAGGAAGAGAAGCCAAGACCATCGAGAATGGAGAAGAGTTTCTACAATTCCTACCAACTTTTTATCTGATTTATTTTTATTTCTGAGGAAGACTTATGCCACCGTTTTATAGTGTAAATTATCTGAAGTAACACTCATTCCAAATAATGTGAAAAACACTGCACAAGACTGGTGTGTACAGATTTTAAAACTAATACATGGAAGTACTGTTTCTGAGTCAGGGAGACTTAGGAAATTAGCACCATTCTGTTACTGATTCAGTACTTTTTTTTTTTTTTTTTTAAGATTTTATTTATTTATTTGACAGACAGAGATCACAAGTAGGCAGAGAGGCAGGCAGAGAGAGAGGAAGGGAAGCAGGCTCCTCACTGAGCAGAGACCCCGATATGGGGCTCGATCCCAGGACCCTGGGATCACGACCCAAGCCCAAGGCAGAAGCTTTAACCCACTGAGCCACCCTGGCGCCCCTGATTCAGTACTTTCAAGATAAAATGATGACGGGGATTCATCACTAACTTCTGCAATTAGTATCAGAGGATATCAGTTTAACCTGTGGTAGTACAGCAACAAAGGCTTGGCCTAATATCAGTGCTGGTGTGGATTCAAATTTACCAGAAATCCTAGGAAGACTACTCTGCCCATGGGAGGGTTTTTTGTTTTTTTTTTTTTGTTTATTTGAGAGAGAGAGAGTGAGAGAGCATGAGAGTGGGTTTAGGGGCATAAGGAGAAACAGACACCCCACATAGCAAGGAGCCAGATAGAGAGCTTGATCCCAGGACTCTGGGCTCATGATCTGAATGGAAGGCAGACACTTAAGCAACTGAGCCACCCAAGAGACATCCCTCCCCACCCCGGCCCACCACCTGATAGAGCTCTTGATGAGCTCCAAATACTCCTTCTATAAGAATTAACTTTCTACCATTCTACCACGCTTTGCTATCAACATGTTTAAAAGACAATGTAAGATACCAAGGGGTACACAAAGTTCTCCTCATTAAAGACTACGACTGGAAAAACAAGGCATGTGTGTTTAAAATAATAGTGAATATCAACTGAGTGTTCCTCCAATTTCCAGACAGAGGAGATCACTGGGATAACTAAGATCATCAAAGTTTCACAGAGAAAGTCTGATTTGAAAAAATTAAAAATTGTGGAAGTAATCCAAGCACAGTTGGAAAGCCTAAGCAAAAATAAAGATAGGACCATGCCTAGTATGTTCACAGGATGAAACAGATTTCGCTTTGAGCAGGCAACTGTCACAAACACACATGGCATTTTCTGCTGCACTGAGCCCAGGCCCCCATGGTGGGTCCAACAGGCACTTCAAGAGTAGACTGGGCCTGGTTAATGGGAAGCCTTGACTTACAGTCAAGGATTTGAATACTGTGGTATAAATAATAGTGTAAGCAAATCTTAACTGCAGAGGGACCTGAGCAGGGGCTTATTTTTCCTGCTGGAGGGTACTTTTACAAACTATCCACTCTCAACAACATACAAAGTTGAGAATCACAACTAAAGTGATCCACTATTTGGGGTATCAGTGTTTCTTACTGATACTAAAAAAAAACAAAAGAAACAAACAAAAAAACCCCCAAAAAACAAAAAAAAAAAAAAACAAAAAAACACAACGTGGCAACTACTGCTATAGACACTTAGTAGTAACTGTGGGGTTTAGACCAGGAAAGAACATGATGATGGATCATTCTGGGAGGCAGGGAAGAACAATCAGGCAGTGCAGTAAGCAGCACATAAATATTGAGAACTAGAACTGCTGTGGCATTAGAAATGTTATAAAGTAAAAAGTGTCAAGGTGAGGGGCGCCTGGGTGGCTCAGTCCATTGACCCACTCTAGGTTTCAGCTCAGGTCATGATCTCATGGGTGCTGGGATCGAGCCCAAAGAGGGGCTCCAGCTCAGTGAGGAGTCTGCTTGAAGATTCTCCCCCTCTGCCCCTACTCCTGCGTGTGCTCTCTAAAATAAATAAATAAATATATTTTTTTTTAAAGAAGTAAATAAAGTAAAAAGGGTCAAGGTAAATGGAAAATTGGCATGAAAGTACTCCACGGTTCATTCTTTAATTCAACAAATACTTAACCAGAACCTACTTGCACGTCGGGTCCTAGAAACTGGGACTAGATGTAACAGGGGAGTCTCCACCTTAAAGGTCTTTTAGTCTAGAAAACAAGGAGGTCTCCAACGCAAATGACGTAAGGAGGGTGGGGGCCTATACCATATGCACACGAAGAATTTTGTATGATGAGTTGGAAGCACCGAATACCCGGGGATTCTGCTATCAAGGACTTCGCTACACATGAAAGAATTACCCTGATACAGGTTACTAATCATTCACCAGTACAAAGTCCCTCTACGACTAAAACCTGGTGCTGAGAGAAACACCAGAGGTGGGAACACCAAAGTCAGAATCAAACAGGTAACTACTGGCAACGACAGAGGAGGTGTGATCTCTAGCGACCTAATTAGGGCAGTGGTCAACACCACCGGTTCCCTGTTGAGAACTGTTAATAGCCAAGTTTTTCTACAATCTCCACTTTGTCGCACACTCCTGAAAAGCAGGAAAGTTTGGATTGCGGTGATTATGTGAATACTTAAGGGGTCTTCCCCCAAAAAACGTGGTAGAAAGAAGGGCTATCACTTAAGACGTGGGTTTTCAATTTCCGTGCGACGGCAAGTTTGAATCGCCTTATCAGAAAAATTCTCTCAACGATTCCCTCCCTTGCAACTAAAGAGGTACAAGAACCTGGAGCTCAGGGAGCAAGAGCCCCTTACCCCAGACCTTCCCAGCGAAACCTGCAAAAAGCTCCCGGCCTGCAGGGCGGCTCTAACGACCCCCGAAGTCCTGCGTGGCTGCTCCCCGGCCCCCGCACTCCTCGGTACCTGATGCTCCCTTTTGGTGGAGGGCTCCTCTTTCACCTCCGTCACAAATACACACGGCATTTTCCGCTGCACCGAACCTAGGCGCCTCATGGTGGGCCCAATAGGCAGTGCGAACGCAGAGCACGCTTCCAAGCAGCGTCCGGTCAGGAAGGCGTCCCCAACAGTCACACACACCGCTCAAACCACGAACACTGCCGGCTTAAGAAAGGCGGCAGCGCGCACACGGCCCCCACACCAAGCGTGGGGCGGGGACGCATGCGCAGAAGCGGCCTCGGGCCGCGGCGCCTTCTGGGAGTTGTAGTGTGAGCGCCGAGGTAACGCCGTTTACACTCCCGCGAGCCTTAGTCCGGCGTGTGATGACCGTGAAACAAGCGATCCGTTTCTGGGTTGTGTGTGTTTAACCATCCTTAGTAACCGATGATATTTATGAAAATTAAAGAATAGCAAGTTATAAGTAATGAATTATTTCAGGTGGCGACTTAACACCACTCTGGTGAAAAGGAATTGCCTGTTCTCGTTAATAAATTCCTGTAGAAGTTTAGAAATATTCAGAGACCTCTCAAAGCCTGACGGAAACGGATTTCCCAGGAAGAGTGCTAGAAAACGCTACAATTAAAACAGCTGGGACACCCCTCCCACACACACAGAAAATTGTAATACCGTTTGGACTGCACCTCATTGTGCCGCATAACATAGTCGAAATTGGTTCTAATGTCCTTTTCTAAGTGCAAAATTTAGCCTTAGACTAATCCAAAACCGGATTTCAATCTTAATTTTTTTCATAGGAATCACATTTATCGTAAATATGAGCTCCAACAGAATCCAAATGGCTTGATTAGTTGAGAGTCAACTACAGAGCTAGTCAATCAAGAGCTTTGACTTATTGCTTAAAAGAATATTGGAGGGTAAGTAATGAGATGGTCAATGATCGAATAAAATATTAAATATTTAGTAATAGTGACTTTCTATCTTATTGAAGCTAGTAGTCTTCAGCAGGGGAGTTCTGACAATCACCAGATGCTTAGACAAGGCCCAGGTCTCGTTTTTAAAACTGTGTTACCTACAAGTACCACAAAGTCCAGCGTTTTCCTGACTTACCCATAAGAGGGTTTCCAAAGAATAAATATCCCTTAAAAAAATGCACTGTTTTTTGATTGCCAGATTCAGAGAGGAGAAAGATTTTGCCACTTCATTTATTTTTCTGTCCTGCTATCTTCTAGGAAAACACAAAAAGGCGAAAACCAAACCAAACCAAACCACTTTTTTTTTTTTTTTTTTTTTTTTAAGAATACCCGATGCTGATACTGGTTGTCAGTAATGGGGACCAGACACTTAGTACTTTATAATCAAGCACCAGTGATTTTCTGTTCCTCCAGAGGAATCCCAGCAAGCAGCTTGTTTCATGGGTCTCAAGGGAACAACAATTAAATAACCCTCACAACTATCAACCGCCATTTCCCAAACTGCCACAGAATCTTCTAGGTCCAACATTCTGTCATTTCTGAGAAGAGATCATCTTCTAAAACATTCTCCTTGCTGTTTGAATAGTAATAGCAAGGCTAACCATTCCTCAGGAAGCACTCTATTTCCAGTGCTTTGATTTCGTCAGTTGGCTGAGACAAAGGAGTCCAAGTCAGGGGAGAGCCAGAGGTCCAATTCACAGTTGCAAATGGGGCTCCTATTCTAATGGGTAGCAGCCAGCAGCTTTGCCTGATTATTCATAAACCTGAAGAGCCAGCAATGAGTTACTACCAGTCCCTGTACTTAAAGTTGTATAATCGGATTACAAAGTGGAAGAAATACTTTCTTCTCTGACCAATGTGCTAGTATTTTAGCATGCATCAAAGATGAAAGACACTCCGTGTGAGTCTACATGGGCCAACCCAAAATACTTACAGAATTCTCAGGCCTACTCCCAGCTGTGGAGGCAAATTTCCTATCGCTCTTCATTACAGGGAATAAAAATCCTCATGAAAATGGTCATAGCTTTTCCTGAAAGACTAGAATGAATTTCACAACAGGGAAGAAGTGAATAAGAAAAGGAGGAGAGGAAGGAGAAAAATAAAGGAAAATAGAGTTTTGTTTTAAAAAGAGAGAAAGAAGAAATTAAGGCTCCATGCAGTCTAAAGACTACCAAAATGTACAAAACTGCACTTTGCAAAGACCAAAAAAAAAAAAAAAAAAAAAAAAAAATCCGCATTTTAGTTTGACCTTTTTTTGCTGTCTCTAATGGAATGTAATTATTCCCAACATACCCCAAAAGGTAAAAACATTTTTTTTTTCAGCCTTTCCCCTATGTAAAACAGGGATTCCCAGAATGGCTTTAATCATGATGTTACATGTAATCATGCAATAATGGTGTTTGGTAACAGTATTTGGAAATAATCCCTGTAGCCAAAAGCTCATAGGCAGAGAGGGAGTTTATCTGGAGGCAAAGACCACTTAAAGATATTTCTTAGAGGTGTTTTTCTACATAACCTATGTGCTTAAAATGAGTACTTTATTGTTCTAGAGTTAGAAGTTGGGGCAAAACAGAAGGCAAGATATTAAGGTTTTTTATTTATATATATCTATATATATACATATAGATATATATCTTTGCCAATATTTTCAAGGGTTTAGCCAAATTTTCTCTACTTCTTCACTTACTTTTAATACTGCCTATTTCTTTTTATTTTTTCTCTTATTTACAGTTACAGGCAAACAAATCTTCTAAATTTTAGTTCCTTATTTTATTTCCTAGATTTTTACCTTAAAGTATTCAGAAAGTTCTTACCAGTTAGACATAGAATTTAACTTAACTAAAGTGAGAATCCATATGCCTTTATTTTTTTAATTTCCAATTCAAAGTACGTTGCATTTTAAAAATACATTTTGATCTACTATAATCTGTCATCTCTATGGCAACTTCTAAGTCACCTCTTATGAGTAATTTTATTAATTTCTGCCAGGTTTTAGTTCTTTTAGTAACGATATTAAGATGAAGAAAGACCTCAGTAACTGTTGATTGAAATGTCTCATTCTGGGAATCAGAGTACTTCACTTTGTCTTCAACAAATTCTCAAAATTTATACACACTCTGGACCTTTCTGCTATAGGAAGAAGCTATTCCTCCTTTTATGATGGATGAAAAATGAATGGAATATAGCTACAAGATGAATAAATAGTCCAATTATTTTCAGGTACCTATTAAAATAACACAATCTGAATGATTTTTTTCCCAATTCAGTGGATAGCAGTGAGTACATATTTAAATAATTTTATTTATTATCTTGGAGTATAGATAGTATATTTACCTATTAGAAAATTTGAGTTTGTTTCCAAACCATATATGGAAATGAGATTTAGAAAACAGCTATTTACTTGTGAAATACTTAATAATTTTTAATTATGAAATTATTAACTAGCTTATATCCCAAAGTCAACCAGAACATTAAAAGATAAAATATCTTATTTTTACTAGCCTATTTGGTTAATATACTAGAATTGAGGAAGAGAAATACTACACAGAATTCACTAAGGTAGGCCAGCCTACAGTTACAGTTACGTGTGAGGTCATTTATGATGAGCAAACAATGGATTAGGTAACAATCAGGAAAATTCTGGAAGTTTGAGTTTGTGTGCTTACTAGCAACCACTTTCAACATTTCTGCAAAGCTAGAGAAGGTATCTTCTAATTTAAATTTCTTTAAGAATTATCTATTGTGTAATATGCTGTCGACAGGAGGTCAGTTTTAAAGGAATACTACTGATAGCCTGAAAGACTGGAAAAGAAATTCTTTTTCCCCCTTACACACTGATAGTTCTTATATTTGCATTCCTGCAATTCTTATATTAAAAAACACTGGATTAGCAGCAAGAGAGTTGAAAATGGCAGAAGTTGGGAATGACTGCTATTTCTTTTTTAATTCCACATGCATAAAGGTAAATATTATACAATTTACAGTACTTCACATACTTAAGCTTTTTAGTAGAATGAAGGAGGGTATAGCAATAATTTGTATTGCTGAATCAAAATTTACTCTTTTCCTGAAAAATACATATTTAAAATCTGAAGTAAAAGCTTATCATGTATTTTTGACATACTGACTTTGTCTGAGGAAATTAAAATTATGTTATAGTTTCAAACATACTGAAACATTATATGATACATCATACTGTTAGTTAATATGATTCCAATCATGTTAATTCAAAAAGTTAAATTCAGCTATCAAACTTACTTTAATAAATCGAATTGATTCCTTATTTGAAATTCATTAACCCAGTTACTGAATTTTCCCATTAACAGTCTAACAGCAAATATTTGATAATATGGAAAAAGGAAAAGAAATGTTATAAACAAATTAGCCAAATATGAATTCAAGTTTATAAGTCTAAATGGGAAAAAGATATTAAAGAGATTAGGGGGGTGCCTGGGTGGCTCAGTGGGTTAAAGCCTCTGCCTTCGGCTCAGGTCATGATCTCAGGGTCCTGGGATTGAGCCCCACGTCAGGCTCTCTGCTCAGCAGGGAGCCTGCTTCCCTTCCTCTCTCTCTCTACCTGCCTCTCTGCCTACTTGTGATCTCTGTCAAATAAATAAATCCTTAAAAAAAAGAGAGAGATTAGGATTAGTGGATCTCAACGAAACCAAATGTAGAAATTTGGAGCTTCATGTTCATGCCTAAATGAAAGACACATTGTGTCTGATTTAAAGTATTTTATCTCTGCTAGGAAGCCTGAATGGAGTCAATCTCTTTGACCATTTGAATTTGATTCACTTTTTTTTTTAATTAAGTTATCCACCTTACAGTACATCATTAATTTCAGATGTAGTGTTCAATAATTTATGTTTCTTATAACACACAGTGCTCACTTATTTGCCTGTCCTATTACGATTAAACCTAGAGATGATAAATAATAATGGAATTTATATTCTATGTTTGCAGAGAGTTTTGTCTGTTTTACTGCTGTATCCCCAAGTACCCAGCACCATGATCGATGGGTGGTAAATTCTCAATAAATAAATGAATACATAACAATAATAATAGCAACCACAATACCTTCTTCATATAATTTTTACAATCTGTGAGGGAGGCATTTATTCCCTTTTTACAGATGAGGACACTGAAGCACAGACAGGGTAAGTAAGGAATGTGTTAACTTTTGTTAACTTTTGTTAACTATGGACAAATAATGGACAAATAAACAAA